GGTGCCCGGGAGTGGCCACTGCACTCCAGTCTGGGCAACGGAGTAAGACTCCAACTCAAAAAATAAAAAACATCCCCAGGCAACCAATGATGTACCTTCTGTCACTATAGATTAGTTGCATTTTCTAGAATTTTATAAAAATTGAATCATATTTATGTATTTTTCCTTGCTAGGTTCTTTTTTTTTGAGTTGGCGTCTCACTCTGTTGCCCAGACTGGAGTGCAGTGGCCACTCCCGGTCACCGCAGCCTCGACCTGCTAGGCTCCGGATCCTTCCGCCTCAGCCTTCCAGTAGCTGGAGCTACAGGCATGCGCTACCACGCCTGGCTGATTTTTTTTGATGTATTGTAGAGAGGAGGTCTCACTGCCCAGGCGGGTCTCGAACCTGCAGGCTTAGGCAATCCACCCACCTCAGCCTCCCAAAGGCGCGGGATTACAGGCTGAGCCACTGAGCCCGGCTCTTGCTGGGTTCTTTCACTCAGCATAATTATTTTGAGATTTATCCATGTTGTTGCATTTGTTCTCCTTAATTTCCAGTTTAATTCCCTCTACCTTAACCTAGCTGCTACAAAATACAGAACTGGATTTCTGTTTAAGATAATTTTAGAAATTACAGTCTCAACTACTTACATCTTCTTTTTCTTCAGTGTCCACTTGGGCAGTATATTTATCCTCTGGCACAGGAACCTTCAGGGCATTAAACTACAAACACAGGGACAGTGAGTTATCACCAATATACCCAGGAGACCAAGGGCTCAAAGCTGCTAATCCGTATAGATTATATTAAAATACATTATCTGCCCCAAGAGGAAACCTGTAAACATCTCAAGTGTCGGAGTGAAAATAATATTAGAAGAGGACCTCAAGGGCCTTCTCAGCCTTGCCACCAACTAACTGAGGACCTCAGACGATCTTTTATCACGATGCGCTTTATGTCCTTCATGTGAAAAGGACAGCTGGACTTGTTGACTAGGAAAATGGCCTCTTGCCACCTCAGACTCTAAAGAAGTTCTGATTTCTCTCTGCATGAAAGCCTAGAGGGCTGACTGGCCGAAGTAAGGTCTACATGATGGAGACGAAGACCACTTAGTGTTACAGCCTCAGCACTTAATACTGTGCCTGGCACAGAGTAGGGCCTCTGTAAGCATCTTCAAATGAAAAATGCAAATAACTCTGGATATTGGCTCTTAATGTCTAAGCGTCAAAGGAGGACGGATGGATGAGAAATTAAAGCTATAAGGGACAGCAAAAAAAGAGCAAAGAAAGCAGGAAAAAGGAAAAGGGCAGAAAAGGTGTTAGTATGTTCCAAAGGGAAACAGGAGGTTAAAAAGGAACTCAGGAAACATGTAACTTGACAGCCCTCTGGCTCCCAGATTTAAGGTTATACTGTACTGCTGAATGAACATTCCCAAATTCATGGCAGCTATTTACCATTTGTATCCATCGCTGCAAGGCCTTTGGACACACACCCATCTTTCCTAGGTTTCCTTACAGATTTGGCTGTCATCCTGCACCTTTAATGATCTATCTTCCTGCTTCCCACCCACAAGTCACATTATAAGCTCACTGCTTTAGTAGTCTGAAGTCTCACCTTCTTCTCAAAGTCATCAACCAAGCCTGCCTTGGCCACATTGGCCTTGTAGTAAGCCCAGTCAATAGCTGGTGGATTCTCAGGCAAAGCAGCCAACCTGTTCATATGGAAAAGCAAAAGCCAGGATTTCCCATAAGCAACAGGAAATTCACACTGTAATTGCCCATTTCTTATTCCCGGAGTGTCATCATACTTTTTTCTCTTATAGGGTCATCATGAAAATACAAGACTTTCTTTCTATGTTGTGAGAAGATCATCAGGAATTCATATGTAATCCCACAACACTGTTTTGTTTCTAGATTCAGTGATAAGTATAGGGCTTCCTCTCAGGATCATACTGACCTGGAAGTGAGCGTCTCATTCCAGGATTTCAGGGAATTAGCAATTGCCTTTTGATTTCGGGGTATGATCTCCCCAAAAGCCACCCAGTCAATGGCTTTTAGAGCAAGTTTTCGCCCAGCCATCTTGGGATCCTGCAAATTAAAATAATTCAGATCAAAACAGGGATCTTGGAGAGAATCCTCTGAAGAAGGACATCTTAGAAATATGCACATCTTTAAGAAAGAGATGAGTATCCTTTGAGCCCTCGGTGGGTTGACTTATCAGCTACAAGAACTAGGATTACCAGAAAAGGAGGACAGATTGGCTTTCCAAATTCAAGGTGTACAACCTAGCATATATATATTCTCTCCCACTAGATTGCCCTCCATCTCCCAACTCCTACTCATCCTTAAAAGCCCAGTTCTCTGCATTTTGCTCTCCACATACCTTTAGAAATATTGCTAAAATAACATTCATGCATTGCATAAAAGGTAGTAATTCAAAAACATTTCCACTCTGTGGTTTTTTTTTGTTGTTTTTTTTGAGTTGGAGTCTCACTCTGTCGCCCAGACTAGAGTGTAGTGGCCACTCCCGGCCACCGCAGCCTCGAGCTGCTGGGCTCCGGCAATCCTTCTGCCTCAGCCTTCCAAGTAGCTGGAACTACAGGCGTCGGCTACCACGCCCGGCTGATTTTTTATTTATTGTAGAGATGCGGTCTCACCAAGTTGCTCAGGTGGGTCTCAAACCCGCGGGCTCAGGCAATCCACTCACCTCAGTCTCCCCAAGGCACGGGATTACAGGCTGAGCCACCGAGCCCGGCTCCACTCTGTGTTTTGTTCATTGCTTCTGTAGTACACAGAACCTAACACATTCCTCAATTTCAGCAAGGATTACACAGAGCATACTCTGCGGTAAAATTTCCCTATCTGTAAAATGAGGATAATATCAGCACTGCTTAACTCAAAGGGCTGTTAAAAGTATCACTTGAGATTGTGCACACCACTCTACAATTCTATACAAACTAAGGGGACTCTTTACCCCCTCCCTTTAAAGTGGCAATACACCCAACCACCTTCTTATGCAAGTGGGATTATGCCCTGCAGCACTACTAGCACATGTCCTGCATTTTATTTATTTTCATTTATTTATTTAATTATTTATTTGAGTTGGAGTCTCACTCTGTCGCCCAGGCTGGATAGCACGCTCACGGCCACCGCAGCCTCGACCTCAGGTGATCCTTCAGCCTCAGCCTTCCAAGTAGCTGGAACTACAGGCAGGAGCCACCACGCCCGGCTAATTTTTTGATTTGTTTTTGTAGAGATGAGGTCTCACCAAATTGCCCCGGTTGGCATGTCCTGCATTTTAAGAGGCATTCAATACATACAAAGATGGGAGACAAGAGGGAAGGTGGTTACAACCATACAGCCAATTTTTTAAACCAAGAAAGGCAACCCCTTCGGCTCCCCTCCCATTGTGGGAATTTCTCAATAAATCCTACTTTCTCAAAACAAAAACAAAAACAAAAAAGCAAGAAGAAAGAACAAGGGAAAATGTCCAACTAGGTAAAATCAGGGTCAGTCAGGCATTAGAAAACAGTAAAGTCAAAAGTCTTTACAAGCTTGGAGTGGATTACAAGCGAGCTGGAAGAATCTTCCTCGGTATCTTAAAGAAAGTTGTCAATCACCTGTCCCCTCCTTCCTCTCCTTCTCAGGACAGCTAGTTTCCTGGAGTGGAGAGGAGGGGGTTAAGGCAGTTGGCAGGTAACTTGAATGGTGCAAGAAAACCAAACACCAGTAGGAGGCAGAAGTCATAAATAAAGGAGATTTTTTTTTTTTTTTTACTGCTTAATCCCCAGCGCCTACAGCAGGTCGTGCGCATAGGAGGTGCTCAATGAATCTTTCTGGGAAGAGTAGATGAGCCCTGCATCTAAAAAAAAAGCCCTGAATGCTCGAATCCTGGAACCTTTCAGAGGGAACCCGCTGAGCGTCCCTCAGCAAGTGGCCACTACGTGTAACGTCTCCCCAGCCTCAAACCGGACTACCGAAGTCCGCCGCGCTGGGAGCCGACTGAAAGCGATGCTGTCCGTGGCCGCGCCTATATCGGCGGCGGCCGGG